CTCTTGATACCCAACCTAGCTAGCTGGATTAAAGCTCCCTCAGCTATATCTCCCCACCTCTGTCTGCAGAGTTTCTCTACCCATACATTTGTATGATGGCCATAGTTGCTGCCAAAGAACAGTGGGGAACTGCATTTGGGTCCAGTTAGAGAAGTGTTGGGTAGGAGGGACTGACTTTTTAAGCAGGACAAGTGTTGATGTCAGTGAGGAGAGGGAAGGACTCTAAAAAACAAACAAACCCTACTACTATGATATCCCCCTGCACTGAGGTGGTAGCTCTGAGGTTATCTGTGTTACCTACAGCCTTACTATTCTGCATACGTCTTCATTGCTGCCAAGTATACAAACAGCAGCAGCCCTCCTCTGCCTGTGCCTGATCCGGAGCCATCCCCCAGTCCTGCCGGCCATGGTGATTCATGTATGTGTGACCTCCAGGCTTGAATGCTGCGTAGTGCTCTACTTGGGAATAAAACTCCTGATGCTTTTACAGTTGAGTCAAAATACAGCTACTACTTCACACAGCATTATGCCACTGGGAGCACATCAGTTTAAAGCTCTGGACTGACACCCCCCTGGTGACTGAGTTAAGTTCAGGACTTCCAACCAACCCAGACCATTTAAGGCAGGGGTGTGAAAATTATGACCCATGAAACCTTATTATCTGGCCCCAGTGCTGCCTATGGGTCTTGAGTAGATGCACAGGCAGCATGTGGGGTGATCCACCTAGCTCTGTATACCGCATGCGGCTGCTTCATGCCAGATCCAGCATGCATCCCAGTGCAACATGGCCCCAGAGTGACCAGCAGGCACTGTGTGAGGTGCAGTCCTGGACCAGATGCTCCAGGACATGTACTGCACACGATGCCCACTCCAGGAAACATGTTGTTTCCAGAATGGAAGGGATGCTCTCTGGAGGAGGCATTGCATGCATGGCTCTGTCACAGAGTAGCAAGAGAGGGCGTTGTATGCAGCCCAGTCCTGAAACAGCCAGTTCAGGGCCACACTACACACAGTGCCCACTCCAGCTGCTCCAGGACATGCACTGGATCTGGTATGTGGGGCTGGTTTGCGGACCTGATCTGGCCTGTGGATTGGCCCCACACCACTCATCCAGCCTGTTTGACACTCCTGATCTAAGGGATCACCTCAGCCCCTGCGATCCAGACAATCCATAATAGGGGTGTGCAAAGCAGGCCCTATTCAATTTGGATTCAGATTTGGTCCGAATCAGGGACAGTGATTCAATCTGTTGATTCAGATCACTCTCCCTGATTCAATTTAGCCAAATCCGAATCTGAAGATTCAACGCTGATTCGGAGAATCAGCAATTTGGATATAGACACAGCTTTACATTTTTTTCTACATATCTCGAGGTACCAGGCACAGCTCGTGACCACTGTGATGCTGGGGCGCATGGAGCATCCACAGGAGTGCCGGGAGGGCCTCCACATGCTCAGCGGCAAACCCGGGAGTGGACCAGAAGTACTTCCAGTCCACCTCCAGGTCTGCTGGAGCCCCCCCCCCCCCCGCACTCCCCTGGCTCAGTGATTGGCTGTGGGGGGACCTCAGGTGCCTCCCCAGATCTAAGAGGCACCAGTCGCCGAGCCACGGGAGTGCAGGGGGGCCCCCTGCACGCTCCCTGGCGGACTCAGAAGTGGACTGGAAGTGCTTCTGGTCCACTTCCGGGTCTGCTACTGATCACGCTAGGGAACCCCCTGTACTCCTGTGGGACGCTCCATCTGCCCCAGCATCACAGCATTCACAAGCCGCCTGCTACCTAGAAGTACGTAGAAAAAACATTTAAAGCTGTGTCTATGTCTGAATCTCTGAATCTTTCTGAATCTGTCCAAATCAATTTGGAGGGTTCCGATTCAATTAAAGCATCCTCTGATTCAATTCAGATTTGGAGATTCGGCACCGAATCAGGCCGAATCTCCTCCTAATCGAATCGAGGACTGAAGCTTTGCACAGCCCTAGTCCATAACTACTCTGCTCTGGAGAGCAGAACTGTCAGCCACAGGGGTGAAACTGGCAAGCGTGGAGCTCAGAGTTTGAGCCTGAATTTTGGGACTTGATCTGGGAAGCTGTCAAAAGAACAAGTTTCCCCACCTTCCCCACCTTCAAAGCAGAATGAACATGGAGTCTTCCCAGTGAAGGATGGTTTAAAAAAGAATCCAACCTCAGGGACTGAGACCAAGATGCAGGCCATGTTTGTTTGGTGTGTTGTGAGGCATTTGTATGCCTTGCAGCTTGGCACCAATATTGATACCAAAATGAAAAACAAGAAGGGGCTTAATTTGCCTAGCTGGGCTACATGGAAGGGAGTGCTGACAGCAGCATAATAGCGCTCTGAAGGGTGTAAAATTCATAGTGAGAGGAAATACTGGGGTGTTTATTTAATTCTTTAAAAAGCTACAGGTGGAATAGTCACACCCCTGAGGTAGCTGATAGTTTGAGATTGATTAAACAGGCATACTGAGGCAGGCATGGTGAGGGCAGTCATGTCTCGTGCATTGAGAGTAAAAACAAGAAAATAAAAATTCCAGAATTATGTTTCTGAAAAGGACTACAAGGACAATGACAGCAAAGTACCTGTCATTACTCACAGTCACCCCAAAGACATCTGGAGTTGGCTGGACAGTTGGGCCTGGCAAGAGTCAAGGATTTTGTGTCTGACTTCCTCCCAACCTCTCTTCCAGGAACTCATCTTATACCACCTCTCTCCAGTCAGATTCATGTTATACACATACACAGCTTATCCCATGTGCAAATACCTGAATGCCCCTGTTCTTTATCAGTTAGTACCACATTATATATTTATATCAGTCAAATTTGTGTCACACATTCTTGTGGCATCCATGCTGTCACTTTTGTGGCTCCAACCCCTCTCGATCCCTAATATCCTTTTTTAGATAGTCTGTGCTGTCCTAGAATGCATGCTTAAGGCTACTTGCTTCTTATATAAGCACGTTGCCCTGAAATAGTATGATAAAATTGATATCTAACTTATCTATTTGGGCTAAGCCTAATCAGGTAAGACCTACTCAAGGCAAGACTGTATCTTTTTTTTGAAATGTTGTCTCAGGTCAAATCAGCCAAATCATTTCTAAATTCTATCAACTGAGCAGAGCCCAATCATTCAAGTCTGTGTGGTGCAACCACTGGCAAGTAACCTGCCTCCCAGACTCTTCAGCCTGTGGCTTCAGATACTCCTAAATCAATGGCAGGGATCCTACGAGAAAGTCCCAAGCCCAGAGGTTTTGGAGATCAGATGCCCCCTACTCTTGCTTGCCCCTAGACATAAAGTCGAAGTAGCAAGTTAGAGGAAAAGCCTGAAAGCAATCCCCCATCACCAAAATTGTGTACCCAAGATCCTCATATTGGGAGGCATGTATAGGCTTGCAGGGATCAGCCTGCCTGCAGTGCAAGGGACAGGCCTTCACCCTCCTACTACACCAAGTCATCTTTTGGGTCTAAGGGCTTCCCTACTTAGCCTAACTTCCTCTTAAATCATACCTTATGGGATACACAACAGATACAAGTATTTACCCCAGGTCAGGGACCTGGAGCCATGTCTGTAATCCAATTCTTATCATGGACAAGTGCATCAGTTTCACCAAACCACATCCTGGAAGAGGCAATGGAAAGAGTTCCTCCTTAGCCACTTCCACTGTCCACAGGCCAAGGCCAGAGAGAATAACTGAGCCTGGCAGCATAACATACAAATTCGGACTCTTTTCTGTAAAGCACAAAGGCATGGCTGGCAGCCTGAGATGGAGGCCTATTCAGTTTAAAAAAGAGATGCTTGAGGGGGGACATGATAAGGGTTCACAACATACTAAATGGTGAAGAGAAAGTGAATAGGGATTTATTATTTATTCTCTCTCACAATACAAGAACTAGGGGTCTTAAAATGAAATTTAAAACTAACAAAAGGAAGTTCTTTTGCACACAGCATGTAATTCAAGTGTGGAACACATTACCACCAGATGTTGTGGAAGCTGACATTTTAGCCAGATAAAAGAAGGGACAGATTCTTGAAGGAAAGTGGCATCAGTAGCTATTGAGCCTGGGAGTTAGGGATACAGCCTCTGAATCAGAACTTCCTAGACCTTAAATGCTGGAGGCTGCAAGTGGGAGAGAAACCAGAAAAAAACCCTGATCATACCCTGTTCACTCTCCCTTTCAGCATCCACTCTCCGCCACTGTGACACAGGAGGCTGGGCAAGATGCACCTGTGGTCTGACCCAGTAAATGGCAGTTCTTAGGTTATTAAGTAGAGGATGGGCAAGTTAAAGGGGATTCCTGGAAGCCACTCACTGGCAGTGTGATGATATGATATGATATGATATGATATGATATGATGCCACAGTGCAGTCTACCAGGGGAAGGGATGGCACTGCCTAGGATTTTTAAAATTAGACTAGGATGGAGTCTTGGAAAATTGATTGTATCAACCAGCCCTGCCTGGGCCCTGGGAGAACTGGCTGCTCTGACAGATCCTTCTGGCTGCCTGTGATTCTCTGCCAAATTCACAAAGGGCTGATACTCAGATCTTGTGTTTCTGGGGTAACCCGTGCTAGCAGCACTGCCTTGTTGTGTCAGCCAGTAAAATCTTAGCCCCTCTGTGTCCCGCCCTCCCAGCCAGCATCGCTTGCAGTATTCTTCTTGTGAATCAGAAGAGAGCCATGTTGCTGCAGTTGGAGCTGCAGCGTCTGGGCAGAGAGATGAAACCATTGAGTTAATAAAGATGCTTTATAGGTGCCCCTACAGGTGCCTGCTGGTTGGGGAAATGGAAACCTTTGCTCATAGGTGGGTTTGGAGGCTTGTACGTTTTTTTTTAGCCTGTCCCTTTAAAAATAAAGCAGCTGAACAGAGATTTGCTCCTGCTGTTGCTGCTGTATCCCAGCTCTGGCTCCTTCTCCACTGCTGCTGCTGATGTGATGCGACTGCCCGACCTTCCCACCCAGTCTCATGATTCTCTCTCTTAATCCTTCCAGAGCCATGTGAGCCTACAGGCCAATAGCATCCTGGGAGTGGGTGGTGGGGAGGCGAGCCGGCTGCAAGCAGAGATGCTTCAGCTAGACCTGATCGATGCAGCCGGGGAGACCCCGGCTGAAGAGGAGACAGCACCCGAGAAGCTCAAGAAAGAGCCCCTGCCGGTAACCATGGACACCTACAGACCCAAGCGACCCACAACTCTCAACCTCTTCCCACAGGTGCCTCGGACCCAGGTAGGTCTTGCCTGGGGCGTGTCAAGGGGCGGGCAGGGGCCTGGATCCTGATGTGTGGTGTGCACTGCAAAGATCCCTCTCTCTTTGCTTGTCCCCATGTTCCCTAGGGAGCTCAGGGAGGATTTCCAGCCTTCCGACATTCCCAGGTGCCAGTTACCTGCTTACGGTTTCAAGGCAACACAGCAGTGTTGGGGGCCTGGGGGCAGGTGAGAGCTGTGGGTTGAGGAGAAGGCTCTGGGGTTCCAGCAACCATAGCTAAGACTGGGGAAGGAGAGGGTTAATGTCTTTTGCAGGGTGCACTTGTCTTGGATGACACAGCTCAGCTGGTGAATGAAAGAGGCTGCAGTTCTGGGAGAAAGCTCTGTGTGTGTGTGTGTGTGTGTGTGTCACACACAAGCAGAGCAGGTGCGGGGGACTGAAATCTACCTTGCTCTTGGGGAAGAGGTGATGAGTGGTGGAAGAGTTGCATTTCCCTCTCCTTAAACCCCTGCAAAAATGTGAGGCTCTTGGGAGGTGGGGGTCAGTGGTGGTGACCCCTCCAAGCCATGTCCAATGGTTTACCCTGTTTGGTTTACCTCTGCTCAGTCAGGGTCTTTGCCCTCTCAGAAAGCCAACTCAATACTTGATACTGAAGAAACAGACTCTAAGCCCAACCCTTGAGGCAGGAGGAGCCTACTAGGTTGGCAGGATGGGCAAGGAGGATGCAGGACCCCTACCACACCCAGCTTTTCTGATGGACTGCAGTCCAGTCTGGCAGCATCCTCCGCTATCTGAACCCTATGCCACTCCTAGGTCCAGCCTCACACTCTGCCTAGGTGGGGGCAGGGGCAGGAGAGACTTATTGGTTCTCTGTGAACCATAGCATGTACAAGAGACCCCTTCATGAGCTTGATGTTGCTTCCTTCCCATCACCTGGGGGAAGGGAGTGGTATGATGGTTGTCAGTTTGGCAGATAGGCCTCTAGGATGCATGGATCCAGATTTCCAGCCCTGTGGCAGGAGTAAGACTCTGGGAGGTTGCTGGCCTGGGGAAGAGACTGAGCAAGGGTCTTTGCCGGGGAGCCGGGGGAGGGCGCACAGGTCATGCTGAGGAATTTTTTACCTGCTCACCCCCAGTATTTATAACCAGAAAGGTGATAGCTGAGTCAATTGAGGTGGTAAGAGAGGAATGGAGGGGGCTAGCCAGAAGAGGGGGAATCGGGGCAGAAGGTCTAGTGCAGTGGGGTAGAGTTAGCCTCCAGCAGAGGAGGGGGATGGTGGGACGTAGCCAGGGAGTGCTTGAGGGATGGCACCTGTTGGCAGGGAAGGGAATTGGAGGGATGTGTTTGGAATTGGGTTTGGGAAGCTGCAGGAGAGAGGTCTGGGAAATGAGGCATGAAGTGCCAAATGCATGAATGAGCCATTGAGCAGTGTGTTCACGGGGCCAGGAGGGGGAGGGGTGGGCAGGCTAGGATGATGTGCGGGGCGAAGCAGTGCAATGGGTGTGGGGGAGCTGCAGCCAGAAGGAAAGTGTGAGTAGTTGGGCAAAAGACTGCAGCTGGGCTGTTTCTCTCCTTGAGCCTCCTGGTCTCACAAGCTCAGCCGTGTCTTGCCCGAATGTGGCTAAAATGGGGGAGCTAAAAATGAACACCCAGGGGCTGCAGCAGGGAGTGTGGGTAACTCAGTAAGGGATGCCCTTCCCCTTCCTTTTCATGCGTGGAGTTGGGGTGCTGTCTGTTGTGTGAGGTACCAAATGGAGGTTCTTCCTAGTGGTGCCTGTTAAAAGCAGCAGGATATGAATCTCAGTGTCTTGTACAAATTCCTTCTTTGGTGCTTCTGCTGCCCCCCCTCATCCCACATGCAGTTGCAGTGAAAGAGGATTCTGCTCCCAAAGTGCTGGGCCCCGGTGCTGTTCCACCCCAGAGGGGGCTGCATTTCAGGGTGAGGGGCTGCAAATGTATGTGCAGTGGCAGAAATCCCGCCGCCTGCATCTCTCCTGTAGAATATGCAAAGCAGCACAAGGTGCAGGCTGCCCAGAAGGCTATTTTTATCAGTTCCTGTAGTTCAGCCATGGCTGCTTCTGCCAAGTAGAAGGATTTTCATCTTGGTGGCACTCAGCTGAGGAGCATGAAGCCAGAGGCAGGTGTTCCTCTGGGTGACAGATGGGGAGTAGTCAGTGGGCGTGGAGCTGGGTGTCAGCAGCATAAAACTGGCAGCTGATGTTAACTCTCCAATTGAGGAACTGGGGGTGGGAGGAGCAATGAAGAGAGTAGAGCCATGGAGAGAGCCTTCTCCTCCTCACATGGGAGGTGCAGCTGGTACCCGACACAAAGGGAGAGCAGTTAGAAAGACTGGAGGCAGCCAGACATGTGAGCATAATGGACAAGGAGGAAGAGGTAGGTTTTGTAGCCTTCTGCACAGAGATCCTGGAGGAGAGAATGGGGTGTACAAGCCTACGAGCCAAGGGTGCTAGCCAGAGGCAAGCCTGAATGGCTCTCAGGGAACAGAGAGGTTGACTTTGTCTGGTACTTTGCACATGAGGTGAGTCTCTTGGGGAGGGACAGCAGGGAACTGTGGGTGACAACAGTGGAGAAACAAGCCAAGATGAGATGTATGTGGCTCAGGAAGGTGAGAGTAGGTGATGCCTGGGTAATGAAGAATTGCACCAAAAGGAGGGAAGGAGGGAGGCTCAGTGGAAGCAGGAGGAAGGGGTTTGGCTGCAAGAGTGCTACTGGCAGCTTGCTTCCCTCCTGGAGTGGAAGAACATAGCAGCCCCTTGGCAGAGAAGGGGAACCAGGGTGGTGAGGGTCCAAGCCAAGGGCACCAGCAAGAGAGCGAGGAGAATGCAAGTGGTCTTAGCAGCTGCAGGAAGAGGGAGCCCTGGGTCTCTGCAGGGGAATGCTGCACACTCCTGTCAGCCTCAGACTCAGAGCTGGTGCTCAGCTCCCCTCTCTTTTGGATGAGGAGGTGATCACAAGGAATCAGGTCCCTAAGGAAATACCAGGGCAATGGCTTTGGGGGGACACCCGTGGATATGGCTAATGAGAAACAGGAGCTTGGTGGGAAGGACCGTGTAGGGGACAGTATGCAGAAACAGGGGATTGTCAGGACTGTGTGGTGGGTGAGTGTAAGTGCAGGGGGCGGCAGGAGGATGGAGATGCAGAGTTAGGAGTGGATGGGGCAGATGGGTGTGTGTAGGGGAGAGGAGGGCTGGGACATCTGGCCCTCTGAAGCTGGATGACTACACTGTCTGTCAAATCCGTCACGATGCCATTGCTCTTCCACTTGCTGGGAAGACTAATTTTCCCCCAGCATACTTCCCCAGACCTGCCCTTGCTTGCCCCCCTCTCCTGTACCTGTGAGTGGCCGTGCTCTGCCACCCCTATGGCCCCATGTCCTCAGAGGCCTCTTGCACTTGGCTGGGGGTGGGAAAGGCATCATGGGCTCCTAGCCAAGGGAAGACTGTCGCTGGAGCCATGTGCAGCATCTGTGGGAGCCAGATACCTTTGCTGCTTGTCTCAGGGTGTTTCTGGCCTCAGATTTGGCCAACCAGCATCCTCCTGCCCTGAAAAACAGAGCTAAGATGGGGTGTCTCTGCAGCAGGCAGGCCCCACTCCACACACGTGATCCTGTGTGTGAGCGGAGCAGTGACACAGACAGGCAGGCTTAGAGCCTGGCATGTCTGGCAGTGACAGCTGCAGCCTGTTAACCCGTTCAGACCCCAGTACTGTGGAAGAGGCTTGAAAGAGCAGAAATCTGCCCAGTTAGTGAGGGTGACAGAGGGCCTTTTCAATCGGCTTCAGAAGGGTAGATAACTGCTGTGAGGAGGCTCAGGCTGCCGGCTTCTCATTCAGGCAAAAGGAAAATAAATTTGGGGCAGTACCTGAGTTGACGGGGCAGAACCTCAGTGCCAAGGGGAATGGAGGAGAGAGAAAGGAGAGTAACGGGCAGAGGGGAGCCTCTCTTTTTGTGGGCAGTCTGCTTCTGCCCATGAAACAGTGCTCTTCCCCTTCTAGCTGTGGCTCAGGGGATCGGGGGAGCCAAGTCATCTCTGGGGACAGAGTTGCTGTGAGAAGAGACGACTCCTCCTCTTTCACTCCTCCTGCCATGGATTTGCTGTTATAAGCTCCATGTGAGGGAGCAGCTGCCCTCCTCAAGAGGAGGGTGTGGCCTGGGCAGTTAGGATAAGTAGCTCGGGCCCACACAATCTGGAGGCAGACAGATGCTGTTTGCACGCAGATGCTTTATGGAGCAGAACTGCCCTTGAGGTGGCATCAATAGGCCCATTTACCCTGTGCAGCACAGGGCCAGGAGCTGCTGAGCTATGTGCAGCTCCCCATGAGCGCTTTCCTGAGGGTGCATAGCACCACTCTCAGCTGCACCAGCGTCTGCCCACCCCACCAGCCATACTGAAGCCACCACTTCACTTTGCCCCCCATTAAGATGGGGCTGGCTGGTGAACCCTCACAGCAGGTAGCACCGTTCCCAGGCCACCATTGCCCTAGCAGACTGACCCTGGGGCCTTCATCCTTTCTTCTGCACAAAGCTGAGCTCTTGTTGTGGGAAAGCTCTGGCAGCAGCTGATGGTGCAGAGAGGACAGGAGCTAGACCGAGATCTTCTGATGCTGCTGTATCTATCTCTGTGTGGATGCCTGCACTAGGTCTTGCTGTCTCAGCTCATAACGTATAAGCTTGGTGAATCTAGCCCCCAGCTCCCAGCAATCTCCCCATCTGTTGACTTTCCTGTAGCCCAGGTGCCTCCCAGTGGCTCTGCCTTGCAGCCCTGTCCTCCACCCCTTTCCTGGCTGTTCTCCATCTCACTGAGGATTCAAGCCACTTGGTATCTTTGATGCCCTCCAGCTCACCTGGACTCCATTCAGCCTCATGACTCTAGTGAGGATGTCTAGGTTGGATATCAGGAAAAACTTCTTCACTGTTAGAACAGTGAGGCGGTGGAATAGACTGCCTGGGGAAGCTGTGGACTCTCCATCACTGGAGATATTCAAAGAGTATGGACAGCTG